CGTCGCCGACCTGACTCCAGATCAGCGATTTCGTCAGCTTTGATTGTTGTGTAAGCTCGTCGACCGACATTGCAGCGGGCTTCGGATCAGTTGGAAAAATACCGCTGGGCCGCTCCTCGCCGACGATCCTGAATCCGTTGACCAAGTCTTCGTGCAGCAGGGTGTCGGGCCAGTGTAAAGATTTGGCAATCCGATCTAAAAGCAGAAGACGCTTCCCAGATAGCACTTCAGCAACTGCAGGGTGCAGAGACTTATGCAGGGAGTCCTCGGCCTCTTCTAATTCGGAAGCCCACGCCTTCCACTTGACCATAACATCGAGTCGCCTGCGAAGGACCGAAACCGGTCCCTCAATCAAGACCTGAGCTAACACCTTCAAGGATTGGTCAGGCAAGGCTCGGCACATGTCAAAAGGATGCGGGGCCCTCAGAGCACATGTTGCAAACTGAAGAGGGGACCGGTAAACACCACATGTGACAGAAACGACCTTGTTGGCACCCACAACAGAAAGCTGGGTCTCAAGGCTACGGTCGGGTCGAGGCCGCTTAGGGAAAACCACCCCCCCCTCAAAATTAACCCGAAGCACCCGAGAACCGGCGGGGACAGGACCGAAGGAAGAAACTAAGCAGTTTTTGGCATCCAAGGTGGGCAAAGTTCCCTGAGGCAACGGAACTGTAGCCTGATAAAGATACTCATCCACCAAGATTATAGCCTTAGAAACTTTGGGTTGAACCTGGTTCGCCGCTCGGGCGGAGGCATTGGTGACGGCCGTCTCAAGAGGGGACATGTCATGTTGACCAGCAGCAAGGGCCACGGCAGCAGCGAAGCGCTGGCAAAAAGACGGCGTATGAAGTCGATCACCTGTGTCGAAGCCCGGGACGCACGACTTGTCACAAGTATCACGGAAGGCCTCGAGCTCGGGGACAGACGTCCAAAGGTTGATTGACTGAAGGCTTCCAGTGCCCGGGGAACTCGCAGAGAAGTGCACTTTAAAAGAAATTTTCTCAAGACCCTTAAAGGCAGACTGACACCACATCGGAGCTTTGCTGGGGCAGAGCACCGAAAAATGCACAGGGGGAGACTGCTCCCTGAGCCAGGCACAAGTGGCCGCGATGGCACCGCACATAGTAGAATCAGACTTGACCGATTGAGGCGGCTGCATGTGAACAAGGAAGACCTCACCTGCATGCACGAGCCTTTTGATATAGGTCCACGAAGATGCCTGGCGAAGGTCTAGACGAACCACGTGAAGGCCGCCTCGCACCTGACGGGACGAAAAGTCGATCGGCAAAACCTTAAAACCGAAACCACGCAGAGAGGTCGACAAAGTGGCCGTCCCCGCGAAAAGCTCCAAGCACAAAAGTTGCTTAGGTTTTACCGAAGGGAGAGCACCGGCGTCCACCGAGGGGGGACTAAACCGAAGAGGGGGCCTAAAGTCCGGGAAACCAAGCAAATGTGGCACAAGCTGGACCTGGGGCGGCTCTGCTTTTGGCATATTGAACCCCAGACCCTGCAACAACCGGAAGTCGTTGGTTTGAAGACGTTCAGAGCCCATAAGGCAATAAGCCACAAGCACCACTCGTCGGCCATCAAATGTATTGACCGTATGTCGAACATGTTTTGCATCAAAGGCAACTGGCCCTTGGTCAAAGGACAGAGCGCGCGCCCGGAATGATGTGTTATCAATTTGGAAAAGCTTTCCCTGGCCGTCCTCAAGAAGCAGCTCGCCACCTGTGAACCTAGTCAGAGGGATTACCAAATTATGGCAACAAGCATTCCTGGCATCGCGATGGAGCCCCAGCTGGGACCCATCAAGGATTACGAGACTGTTAAACAACAAGCTCGGACTGACTGCACGCACCAGTGCAGTGAAACATCGAATGGCCTCCGGGAATTGTTTCACAGTGGCACGGAGACCGGTGACACCGTGAGAGTACATGCCTGCGTAGAACGACTTAGCAACCCGATCCCTAAGAGAAGAATCGCCCGTGCCCACAGCATCACCTGGAAGCTTGTCAAAGTGAGCGAGACACGAGCTCAACAAATCGCGGTTCCTCAAGTGTTCTGCGGTAGGCTCAGGACTTTGTGCACAAATCCGAGTTGGCTGCACTGTGGCAGACATCCCAGATGCTTCACTTGGAATCAAGGCATCCCTGGACCCAGAAACCTCACTGTAGGGCCGAGTTGGCTGCTCCTTGGCAGACATCCCAGCTGCTTCACTTTGAATCAAGAATTGATTTGACCCCGAGCTCTGGCTGGCATCGGCATTCAATTCATTTCCCGATAAGGCAGAATCATCCTTCAAACGTGTTTCTGCACATCCATGCAATTCTGCACCGGTTCCCGCGCCCATTCCATCTGAAGAATCGGGGCCAGGAACTGGGCACCGTCACTCCTTTTGGCGCTTAGGGCAAGCGGAAGCGCCATGTCCATGCTGGCCACACTTTGGGATGGCACAAGCATGAAGTCCACGCATGCATGCATTGTTAGTAACAGCATTGGTGCAGTTACCAAGCTGAAACCCATAACAGTAAGGATTGCCCTTCTTGGTAGACGAGGCGCATCCCCAGGCAATGAGCTGAGCCGGCATCTTTCCTTTGCC